CCCCGCCAGGAAGCTGTGCATGATGGCTGGGGCCAGGACCATTGGCAGGCGTGGGTGGGAATGCAGCACATGCTGCCCAGGGCAGAAGTGGGAGGAGCTTGGACCCAGGTAGATCATCACCGGGGCTGACACATGGGCTGGTTTACAATCAATTGGTTGGCACCTGCCTGCAGACCAGATACAATCAATTGGTAAGCCAGATCCAGCCTGCAGGCTGTATTTTGCCCACCCGTCATACGTCCATCTTGCCCAGTCTTCTGTGTCCACAGTGGATTCTGAAAGGGAGGGGAAACAGGGTATGGTTCCCCCCGCCACACTTCCTCTCTCACTTGTAGCTTCCAGGATTTCAGGGCTAGGAAGTTCAGATTCAGGGGCTGTGCCCCTTACTCCAGTGCTCAGTAGCTACTGCTGTCCCTTTCCTCCAGAATTTATACAACTGTCCTTGAGTGTGCCACCTTGGTCTGTCATGGGACACTTATCGAAGGGGACTGGGGGCTGGAGCCGAGAGGCTGGGGCTGGGGGCCGGAAGCAGGAGCTGGGGGCTGGAGGTGGGGGCCAGAGCCGGGAGTTGGCACGGGCTCCGCCGGCTCCGGGGAAGTGCTCCGCTCCCTGGCATCAGGGCCAGGGAGTGGAGCACTTCCCTGGAGCCAGCCCCTCACGCCAGCCTCCAACCCTGCCTTGCCTCACCTTGGGGAGGAGCCACTGCCTGCCCCGAGTGAGGCTCCGCTGGCTCCGGGACACTGCTCCGCTCCCCCGCATGGCTTCGGAGGGCATGTCCCGCAGCGTCCCGGAGCTGGCAGAACCTCACTCAGGGCAGGCAGAGGCTCCTCCCCGAGGTGAGGCAAGGCTGGGATGGAGGCTGGGGCAGGGGGCTGGCACAGGCTCCGCCGGCTCCAGGGAAGTGCTCCACTCCCTGGTCCTGGCACCAGGGAACGAAGCACTTCCCCAGAGCCGGTGGAGCCCGTGCCAGGTTCCCGCCCCAGCCTCTCCCGGTGCGCAGCCTTTTCAACAGCCTTTTAGTTGTGCGCTGCTGTGCACGTGCGCACCTTAGAGGGAACCTTGCAGCCAAGGCTGGGGATTTTGACAGGGATTTGCCAGTGCTTCTGCTGGGAGCAAAGCCAGAGGTTCCTGGATAGGGAGGTCTTCCCCTTCCATTCAGGGTCAGAGTAAATCACTGTACTTGGGATTAGTATGAACTGTGGGGATTTTTGTCTGTCTTTCTCCAAGGTGGGGGTATGACCCTCTACCTGGGACATCTTGAGTGTATATTGATAATATTTCATAGAAGCAGGACAGTAGCTGCAATGCTTCAACTGCTTTCTGTGTGGCAGGTTAGAGTGCTAGGTCTGTTGTGTCAGGGCTGAAAGCAGCTTTATATAGAGAGTTTCGATGATGGCTTATATGGGATGGAATGAAAAACCATGATCCTGCTTCAGCCAGGGCAGTTGAAGTAGATGACCTCTGGAGGACCCTTCCAGCCCTACTTCTCCATGACTATGACTTGCATGACTATACTCCCCCATGTTGAAACCAGAACACCTGGATAAGATTTTACTAGTGTTCACAGGAGTTCACTTACATATGCAAAAACATATAAGAAAAATACACAATATAGTGAAACGCTCTTAATATGAATTCAAAGAGATTAAATGGGTTTGTTTTCATAAGTTAACGAATACAGTAGCTTCCCCCGTACAAACAGCATAAACAGTCAACGTATGTACTTACAATAAAGTGAGTACTGATGTTTTCCTTGTCTTGCTGTCCTTCACGGTGTGAAGTTGCTTGTTGCCAGCTTTATTTCTCTGATGATGCTATCTTTTAGAGGGCCTGCTTGTCTTTCAGCAGCTTGTCACAGAACACAGTACAATCCAGATCAAAATTAACTCACATAGCCTTCATGGTGAAGACATGTAGATGTGATTTTTCAGGAGACCACACATTGTTCATTATAGAAAACACATGTTTAACAGGGGCAGTTGTGCCCAGGAAACATAACATGAATTCCACAGCCTTAGCTAGATCTGCATATTGTACTGTCTTGCTGTCCATCTCTTGAAAAATGCACAGCCACCTTTCAGCAATGGGAATTCGCTGATGGTTGCAGTCAGAAAGATGACGAGATGATTGATTTTGCATTGGCCCATTTAAAAAGGCAATTTTAATCCAACATACGTAAGGTCGGAATTCTAGTGTGGCATGTAGTGAAGCTGTCTTATATTTCATCCCACACTGGCATATTACTCAACAGGGCCCACTCAAGCTTTTTTGCATGTTCAAAGGCAGGTTTCCAGTGCTCCAAGTAAGACAGGCATTGTAAAATTCTGCATTGTAAAATTCTTGTTCCTTCATTTGCCGACAGTCTACAAGAGACTGCAGTAGGTTCTTTGCTTTTGTTGTGACGAATTGTTGTCCATGCCTCTCCGCTAAATTATCCCACAGGGAATGTATCTGCAGAGCAACTTCTGTCACCGACACATCATTTTTCTCAATTGCCTCTACGTTCTTCTGAAACATGGCTGTTTGTTTACTGGCAAAAGCAAGCTACAATTTAGTGCTGAGGTCATTGAAGACTTCTTTGTGGTACCCATATCCTCAGTTTTGCTGACAGTACAGAAACCAGACATGAAATTGACAAAAGAGAAACCTAAGTGTTCTGACTGTACGATTGCTATGGGACTGCCAAAACAGGGAAATATGGTTTCATGACATTGTCAAGGTAATAAAGCAACTGCGCTGGCAAACTGCAAAACTGTATCAAAAGGTGAGCAACTCAGCCCACCAAAGCAAATAATCAGTGCAACCCATCTAATGTCTAACCTCAAGAGGATACAATATGAACTAGGTTGCACAAAGTATGCAAGGTCTGTTAACCACAGGTAGGGTAGCCACTTAGCCAATCACAGTAAGGGTTAATCCAGATTTGGTTCTAAATTCCGCTCGTATGCGAATAAATTTGAGTAAAATGTGCAGATCTTTGGGTTCTCATAGAAGTGTACTGCTGGGGGAACAGATGACTTAAGAGCTTTGTGGGATCAACAGCTTAGCTGATCTGCTCCAGGCATCATCTTTAAGGGTATCTTTAAAAATTGCGCATAAGAGGTAACAAGGCTTGAACATGCTATATTGGATTTTGTGAGAATACTCTACTTCTTTTTCTCTTAAATAAAACAAAGCTTGCCTCAAAGATCTGTGTGTCTACTTTAAATAACTCATCCGCTCGATCCATTACGGGTACGACATTCTTTTAACAGTGTCAGGCACTTCTCTTGAGAAAGGAAACATGCTTTAAGCCCATTGAAAATCAACAGAATTCTATCCAGCGCTGGTTTCAGTGACAAGAATTGTGTGCTGCTGTGCTGTAGTAATTTAAAATACTCAAGACTGACAAATTGGCAGAAGTCTTTCAGCTCTTCAACTCTTAGTTTGGCTTGAAGTTTTTGCCACGAATTGCTTTTTTCAGGACGTCTGGCACCACCAAAGTTAGTGTTGGTATTGCCTGCACAAATTCCAATGAGCTTTGCACTAAGAGAGTAATTCTCAATCACTTGCTAGAGAAATGCACACTGCACATCAGATGTTTCGCCCAGTAGAAAAGAAAACTCAGTAATTTTTGTGTTGACTCCCCTAACTGGAAGAAAAAAAGAATACAAGAACAGGAAACAGCTTTTGCTCCTTTTTTTGTTCGATGCATCCACATTAAGCATAATAAATGAGCACTTCTCCAAGTCACGATGCACTTCTTCTGTTGATAAAAGAGCTAATACATTGCAAATTATTGCCTTGGATTTTGTGCAAGCAAATGAAAACTTCGGTTGATAGTGTTTCTTAAAATGATGTAGTCACTTGACCCAAAATGGTGTCCATGACACAGAGTGGTAAGCAAATAGTCCCTCACTGGCAAAAATGTGATTAACAAAAAGCCAATCAAATTTTTTGTTTTGCTTAACAAAAAAACCCCCTGAAACGCTTGGAGTTACATACTTAGTACTTTCGGCCCCTGTGTTTTTTTGTTTGAAGGTGCTGAGTAATGTCACAGCGGCTGCCAGAAGTCTTGCAATTAAATCATTTTTTTTGCAAAAATCTCGTTGGTTTAATAAAATATATCACTTCTACCATGAGCCCAGATTGCTTTCTCCACAAGTCTGTCATACAACTTGGCTGATTTTGTAGGTCTTCCTTACAGGAACAGGCATGTTTGTGACATTTTATAGCAAACACTACTGATTACTTCTGTAACCTCACGTGTTGTAGCTGACCATGCATCACATGTGCACTTCATGTGGGTAGGTAGATCCAAAGCCCCGCCATGGGCCACCACCACCTATTGTAAATCAAACCAAGTGGTAAAATGTTGGGATGTTATTGTGAAATGGAGGGATGGAAAAAAAATGCAATTACATTTCTTTATGTAATGCCATATGAAAAATGCTTTATTGAACATGCAATACATCAGCTGGCAAAAGAAAATGGGACAAATAGCCAAATAAAAAAAAAGTGGGGACACTTGGGATAGGGCTCAAATAGGGGACTGTCCGGGCAAAAAGGGGATGTATGATCACCTCGACCAGGGCTCTACCTGCCAGCTTCAGGTTGTGCTCCCTTGTTCTTGTCTTGTGAGAGTCAGTAATGACTCCCCATTGATTTTCTTTGCAGCGTAGTTCTGTGAACCCCTCCCAAGTCACCCACTAGCTGCTGGCCTCCAGTGGGGAGCCTCTTCCCCTGCTTCCCTGCTGCAGCCCCGGGACCTACTGACAGGCACCCCAAGACTGCATGCATGTAACAGTGCAGTTCCTCCGCAGCAGGGGTTGCCAACCCTGCCGGATTGGGCTGGAGCCTGCGGGAATCGGCCAGGTAACTATTGAAAGCAATCCGGGAGACAGATTGTGAACAGGTCGAACAGCACGAGTGACATTACATCAGGTTGGGAAACGAAAAAAACCTCCCGGAATATCTTGACTCAGAGCTGGCCACCCAACCCGCAGCCCGGCCAAGGCAGCGCCCCTTGCAGCTGGCAAGCGTGTACGGGGTCAAAGGGCCACGGGGTGAGCCCCTACTAGGCTCAATACAGCCGGCCCTACGCTGCCCGCCGCCCTCGTGGAATGCCAAGTCGCCGCCGCGCTGACGCGACTAGGCGCGTCACGAGCCGCGCGCGCCACCCCACCGCCCTCAGCGGACATATCTGCCAAAACACCCCACACAGCGCACTTCCGCCACTCTAGATGTCATGGCGGCCGCACAGCCAGCTCCCCTCCCTCGCACGTGACCACGCGGGGGCCGTGCTCCCGCGCCAGCTCTCGCGAGAGCTTCCCCCCTCCCGCGCCCCCGCGCTCCCCGGCCGCTCGCGCAGCTGCTCGGCTCTCGCTATATAAAGGGGCGAAGCGGGCAGAGCGGCGGCTGGCGGCGGCGGCTGCTGCAGCCCAGGGCGGGAGCGGAG